AAAAAAAAAAAAAAAAGAAAAATAGGGTAATCTGCATTGGGCTTTCTGTTTGCCTGGCCTGGCATGATGACTTGTGATCCCACATCTCAAATCATATGCTTCTCACATGAAGTAAATACACGCTTTGCCTGTATTTCCAAACCACTGCAAGGTGCTTGGTGGTGTTTCTCTCTAAGTTCATATAGCCAAGGTGCTTGTTTCCTCTGTGGAAAATGGGAATAGACGGATAGGTCAAAGGTGTTTTGCTAATTGGGACTTGTTCTAAACATATTTGAGAACTTATACTTAAAGAAATGTAGAAGATAACGAAAATGTAGTACATGTACATGGTGGGCTTTCATCCAGTTATAAAGAAACATGAAGTTTACAGGGAAATGGATGGATCTAGAAAGCATTACATGATGATCCAGATTCAGAGCAACAAAACTTGCTTGTTTGTAGCCGGAAGTTTCTCCCATCCTGCCTGGCCCTGCAGTCTCGCCTGGTCATGCAGCTACTTATAAAATCATCACACAGAGGCTTATATTAATTACAAACTGTATGGCCATGGCCTATGGCTCAAGCTAGGTCTTATAACTAAATTCAGGCCATTTCTATTGACCTATATGTAGCCATGTGTTCTGTGGCTTCACCTGTATGCCATTACATTGCTCCCTGGACAGTGGGATGGTGTCTCCTGTGCCTTTTCTTTTCTTCTTCCTGTCTCTCTCTCTTTCTTGGATTTCCTGCCTGGCTATAACCTGATTCACCATAGGCCAGAGCAGCTTCTTTATTAACCAATGGGAACAACATATATTTACAGCACACAGAACGACCTCCCACAGCACTTCCCCTCCCCCTGTCTAATCAAAAAGGAAGGTTTTAACTTTAACATGGTAAGACTACTTATAATAAAACAGTTATCAAGCAAGAATTATAGTTATAATATCTAGTCTATTTGTATTTAGCAAAATTAAAGAAAATACTATATCATCTATTCTATTTTTGTGAGTCTACAGTTTCATGTATAATTTACCATTTATCATAACCCACACATGTGCACAAATAAAAGTAAGATATATATTTAAATGAAATTAAATATGGTTGGGCATGGTGGCACATACCTTTAATCCCAGTACTCCTGAGGCAGAGGCAGTCAGCTCTCTCTGAGGCCAGCCTAGTCCACATAGCAAGTTCTAGGGCAGCCATGGCTGCATAGTGAGACCCTATCTCAAAATAAACAAATAAATAATGTCTGTCTATATAAAAAAAATGGGGAAACTAGCAAAACCTAAAGATAAAAATGACTTACTCTTGACATGTCAGAGTTTTCACATTTTTAAAATAAAATACATATAGTTTAAGTATAGATCCTTGGTGCAAAATTAGCCTCACTGTGAGCACACTGTTGTGCAAGGTGCTTTTCCTCAGCACTCTATCAAGTACTTCCCCAGGTTATAAGACGTTATTTTCTTACAACATCATTTTTATGGCTGCAAAATAAAATAAACCATGATATAAATGTATCAGAGCTTATTTAAACAATTCTCTTGGGCACAGGATCCTGTTGTTATAAAACCAATGTCATGTCATCCTGGCAAGTAAACCTTCCCTTTCGTTGAGATTTTTGTTGCATTACGAAGTTCTTGGAGTGCAACTGTTGAATTGAAGGTCATGAACATTTGCAGGGCTTTAGAAATGTACAGTCCAGTGTCCTTTAGAAATCTGTCCTTCCTGGGCTTCAGAGAGGAAGACAGAGGATGTTGCAGGGCCTCCAGCACAGTTTCCTTCCTCTCCTGGGAAGTCGGCCATGTGGACAAGCTCAGTGAGTGCTGTCTTGATTGTTGTGTAAAAGGGACTGACAATAGCCCTGCAATGGCTTTGAACTGTTTAGGACTGTCCTTACTTCATAGTTACTGATGGGACAGTTGGGCTTGTCCTGACTTGTGGGAGACCAGCTCCCACATTTTACAACAGGGTACTCTTGACGAGAGAGGGATAAGATATATTAGATAGAAGGATAGAGAGGAGAGAAACAGACAGAAACACAGGATAAACCTTGGGAAGTTCTGGATCATTATCCACCCTTTTGTCTCTTCTAAAGGGCTATCTACAGGAATGCCAAGGGGTGGAGCAAAGAGCTCCCCCTAGCACAGGCAAATGTAGACCCTTCCAATTACCTTGTAACCATACACATGGTCAAGCAATCCTCTAATACAGCCCTGCTGGGTGAAGCAAGCTCAGATCTCAGTGGGAAACCTTTGTGGGCCTCCACACTGACTTTGGTACAGGAAATCTTAGATCAAGTCCTAAGCCACACACTAATCATGTGACAAATGTTGACAGATGGTCTTATACTCCTGGGCTTTGTTAACCCGCCTGTAAAATAAAGGACTTGTCCTGTAGCTACATGATCTCCCTCTTCTCTGTCTTTCTGTCTCTGTGTCCTGCCCTCCTCCCGTGTTTGGGGGGGAGGGCGTGTATACACTTGTTAGTGTGGGCATGGGCATGTGCACATGTGTACATATGCATGTGCACGTGGAGACCAGAAGCTGACGTCAAGCAGCCTTTGTTATTCACTCTCCACCTTCAGATTGTGAACCTGAAGCTCAATTAAATTCCTGGCCCAAGTAGTTAAGGGATCTGCCTGTCGCTACACCTCTGTGTCCAGCATTTGAACGTGGGTTCTGGGGATCGAAAGTATAGTTCTTGTGTTTGTGAATATCTCTTGGTTAAGCCATCTCCTCAGCTTCAGTATCTGCCTTTAATTAAAAGATTGCTTGACACACTATCTGTTTTAGACAATCTAACAACATACCAGGTAGCACATTATATTCCTGGCCATTGGCCTCAATCCCTGCCAAGTCTAAGGTCTAAGTTCTCTGAAACTTGTTGACCATGAGAAATGGCTCACATTGACCTTCAGGAAAGACAGTCCAGATTCATGAAAGTCACATGAACTTTATCACCTCCAGTTGCTGCGATTCACAAACAATAACTGCTCATCTTACAGACGACTGAACAACCTGCACGCTCTTCCCCTGATCCGAGACTGGAAGCTACTGAAGGAAAAGAGGACACTTCACACCAGCCTTCAGGGCCTCGACCTAACACAACGTGGAAAGGAGGACCATGTCAGGCTGGAGCAGGGACTTTGTCCAAGTCAGCAGCTCACTTACTCATCCTGAGTAGAAACACCATGTTCTTCAGTTTTCCATCTGGAGACCAGCCCAGAAATGATCCAGCCTCCTTGCCAGATTCGAGAGGCAGCTTTTGGAGGTGAACAACTTTTCTTGTTTGCTCTCCCTGTGGTAATTTATTATTCTCACAGAATAGCAGTCTCTCCTGAGTGGGTGAGGATAAAGTTGCAACTTATTCAGAGATAATGTCTGTCATGCATTACCAGCTGTCACGTGGTTTGTCCTGCTCTCGGGCTTTTCATGTTAGCAGGAACAGAAAACTGTTTAATTTTTTTTTTTTTTTTTTTTGCCACCGTGAGAGCTACCATTTGTTTACTGAGAGTGTCCTGAGCTACGAAGACTGAACTAAACACTTTATATTACTGGTTGTCTTGGTTGTTAAATGACTATGTCCAAGGCGTACTTTTAAAGGCATACCTTTCAAGATGGAGTAACAGGCCAGAAAGAATAGGGAATAGCGAAGTTGGGAACTGACTACTTCTATATGACTTCAAAGCCAGTGTTTGATTTGTTAAATTTCCCCCATGTGTTTGAACAGTTGGTCTTCAGCTGGCGGTATTTCACAATACCAGCTTGTAAACCTTTGAGAAGTGGGGTCTAGCTGGAGGAGGGGGTCTCTAGGCAGGGGTGGGTCTTGAGGCTTATAGTCCAGCCCTGATTCTTGGTCTGTAGAGATGTGGACAAGCATCACATTTCTGCTGTCCCAGACCCCCGCTGTTCCTGCTGCCGTGATAGACTGTCCTCAAGTGGAGAGCCAAGCTAAGTCCTTCCTCCACTGAGTTGCTTTTTGTCCGGTAGCTGGTGACAGTAATGAGAACAGGAGCCAGTATGACAGGCCTTATAAGAAAGGAGAATCATCAAGTTACCAGGAGATGCTGCTGCTGTCTGTGAGGAAAGGGTCATGAGGTCCTTACAGCTTAATCCTCCGATTCATTGTTGCAGGATTCTTCCTCTGCTTTCAAGCAGACCTGAGTCTCCCTTTTCTCCATTACTACTAATAAGGCCGCAAATGCACTCTTCGAGCAGATTCTTTAGCCCTTGACTTTCCAAAATGTCTGGCCTCTACTGTAGATAGAGATTAATTTCATATTGTGACTCGATATGAATACATACACATATCAACCAAAGCTTACTCAGCAATGTTTCTTCTTACTACTTGGAATACACTCACAGTCCTGTTCTACTTTGTTCTGCTTTCTGTTGTTACTTACAATTCAATAAGCTGTTCGTATGAGCACTAGTGGGATCTGTAGTTCAGCATCCTCTCCTTTAGCTGATGTGTTTGACTGACAGAGGACCTTTGCGTGGGGGGTAGTGAGCAGTTCCCTATCCTCTTCTGCATTCTTCTCCTCTCCTTCCATTCCTTAGAGTTCACCCACCGCCAGCAGAACCCACTGCTTCTTACCAAGTATGTTAATTTCTCAAACCTCCTTTATCCTTCCTTCAAGGGAAGTCTGCCCTCTAATGATGCAAACGCACCATTCATTTCCAACACTATAATAATTTCTCAGAGACGAAGCAAAGGGCACATCTCAAGTGTAGAGGAGTTGATTGATGTAGCGCTGTATGGCGGTCACTTAATCTGAATTTATTATTTAAAAGTACAGGAATCTGAGGCTCAGGAAAGCACTGGGTCCCACAATCCTATTTGGAGTATCTGCAAAAAAGAGGCAATCTCATCTCGTGCCCAATGTGGGCATTCCCTGGGACTCCAAGAACTACCTGAGCTAGCAATAGAGAACAGTGAGTGAGAAACAAGGCGAGGTCTGCACCAGGTGACAAAAAATAAAATCGTAGCCACGTTGTAGAAAGACTCATTAATTTGGACTCAGTGGCACAAAGCTAGAGAATGAATGTACTCTTAAATCCGTATATCACAACTGACAGCAGACAATTCTCCAAAGGGGCTCTAAGAAATGTTAATCGATTGCTGTGAAACAGTTGCAAGAGATCATTCATCTATCAGGCTTTTGGTGCAGATGAGCTGAATGGGGGGCAAAGGAAAACAGAGCTTAATTTTCCAGATCTGTCTTCAATGTGCTGCTAGAGCACCCACTACCGTTTCCCAGCCTTCTGTAGCATTGACCAGTTTTCTTGTTTGCCTCTTACTAGTCCTCAAATGACCACATGCTAGTTCATGATGAGAACAACAAAGTTCATCCCATTGAGTGTTATATACTATACCCATCACCTTGGTTGCTACTTCTTGTAAATGAATGAATAGATATTTAATCTTATTATTATAGTGCTAGGTGTATTTGAAAAAATAAAATAATTTCAGTGCTGGGAGATGATGGCTCAGTTGGTAAAACTTTGCCTTGCAAGCATGTGGACCTGAGTTAAAAACCCAAAAATTCATGTAAAATCTTGAACATGATGCTGTATGCTTTTAATTAAAAAGGTGGGGAGATGGGGGTAGGGGAAGGTGGGTCCCTGGAGCTCACTGACTAGCCAATCTAACATACTTGGCAAAGTCCCAGGCCAATTAAAGAGAACCTGTGTCAAACAAACAAAAGAGAAAGATGCAGGATGAATGAATGGCACCTGAGGCTGCCCTCTGAGCCCCAAATAGATGCAAACATGTTCACAAGTGCACTGCACACATGCACCAGAGAACACACACAGAATGGTCACTAATCTGTTTTTTTCTATGCACCTCCTAACGTCTCTGATACAATAGATCTTTTTTTATTCTATTTATTTATTTATTTATTTATTTATTTATTTATTTATTTATTTATTTATGTATTGGTTTTTAGAGACAGGGTTTCCTCTATGTAGCTCTGGCTGTCTTGGAACTCACTCTGTAGATCAGACTTGTCTCTAACATAGAACTCAGATATCTGCCTGCCTCTGCCTCCCCAGTGCTGGGATTTAAAGTGTGTGCCACCACTGCTGGGCTACCAAAAATCTTTATATTTCCACAAAAGATTCAGAAATTCCCTCTTGTTTTCCCTTCCTATTTTTTTTTTTTTTTGATTTTTCAAGACAGGGTTTCCCTGTGTAGATTTGCGCCTTTCCTGGGACTCACTTGGTAGCCCAGGCTGGCCTCGAACTCACAGAGATCCGCCTGCCTCTGCCTCCCGAGTGCTGGGATTAAAGGCGTGCACCACCACCGCCCGGCTTCCCTTCCTAGTTTTATATGTCCTTCTTATAGCCACTAAATCCTTTGGGTATTTGTTTTAACAGAGCAAAGTTCACCAGGAAAGTGTATGTGAGTGTTGAGTCTAGGTGGAGCGATCACAGGGAATTACTCCCAAAGCCAGAGGACTATATCAGTCAGAACCCCATACTGGTCTCTATTTACTCCATTTTTCATCAGATGCTACTGGGTTGCTAAGTAACTGAAGTTGACTGCCAAAAGAACAGCTGGTGTGCGTGTACGTGTGTGCATGTGTGTTTGTGTGTATGCATGTGTAAGTATATACATATGTATGTAATGGGAAGTATCATTCAGGAAGAACAGCCACTGCACTATCCCCTCATGAAAACTCTCCTGGAACCATTCCAACTGCTCTTACTTTTGATTGACACACGGGTGTTCAAAGAAGACCTTAATCAACCACTATTCTCCAGCTTGGGGACAAGAAGACACGTCTTACTTTTTCAGGGGGAAGGGATTGGATACAATTCTGGTGAAGCTGATTAAATCTAAAAGTATTCTATTGTGCAGCATCTACAGTAAATATCACCTCCTTGTAGCCTTCTTGCAGCGAGGACTTATCTGCCCCTCCTCCCCAATTGAGCATTCAGAAGCCACATGGAATTTGGTATTATCGATGCACTGGTTTATCAGATATGAACTCATTGGCTTTTCTCAAAACCACTTACCAGCAAGAGCTGGTTGTCCACATCTGAATTGTGCTCCAAACACCATTTCTGACTTCCCCAGGGTCCAAAATTTTTTTCTTTCTCAGGTTTTTTCCTCCCACATTTGTTTGTGTTTTCTTAACCTCTTACCTATTGAGGTGGATTTCTGGGTCAGGACCCCTGTAAAGACACTAGGAATGAAGGAGATGGCCATCTCGGGCGGTCTGAGGGTCAGTCTGCCCGGCAGAGTTTCAGCCATCAAAGAGGAGTGGACAGTTTGAAGTGAGATGAATTGGCTGGGGAATGGCTACAGAGTTCAGCTCTTCTTCATGCTTCCAGTGTTTTTATTTTCTGAGAACTATGGGTAATGTACACCTTGAAAGGTGGGAACCAGCAGACTTGCATGACACATCCTGCATGCTAACCAACATACCAAGGGAGACAGAAGGGCTTCCTTCAGCCCGGAACCCTCACCTTCCTCCTCACCTTGGAGACTCTCGGTAATGCTACGGTGAGCTGACGTAGGGAAACCTGTCAAATAATTTGTCTTCTTGTTCTCTTACTGTGCTTTGCTGGCCTCAGAGTTCATTTATAGAAGACAAAGATGTATATGGGAGGCTTAATGCAGAAAGGCCTCATGACTTCCTATCCCCTGAAGAAGAACAAAGCCATGCCCAGTAAAGGAATTTCTCTAACAGTGAAATAATTGATAAGGCATGGCAATTCAGACTCACCATGAATTACATTTAATGGTTAGAGAAAACAAGTTTTTCACTTGTTGTTTTTGCTTTGGGTTATGCCATAATTCCATGTCTGCTTCATTATTTTTTATGACATGCATCTATGCACATTTCATGTGAAAAGGCTGATATCTCCAAAGACTGGCCACTGGAAAGCCTCCAGCAAAGACACTTATTAGCATTTCCTATGGGCTCTATCTTAAGACATGCAGAACACTTTACCAATCATGTTTAAAACAAAAAACAAAAAAACAGAGAAACTTATCATACTCCTTAACTCTGGTATTGTCTTTCCTCCCATTGAAATATACACCAAAACTAAGGTCTCTAGCTTTTTAGTGAGTGTTAAAATGAATGAAGATCACTCACAGAAATACATTATCCCCTTTTATGAATGTGGTAAGAATCAACAGATAACCATTTAATTTCTTGCCAATGTTGAGAATTATGGATTATAAAGTAAGTAAGGATTATAAAGACCCATGCTCTTCGAACAGTGTGAGCATCGTCTTCTAATGTGTGAGTTTGA